TCTTTACCTTTTGAAACTTCGCTCTCCTGAGGCTGTGCGGTATCTTCTTTGGTCGCCTATCCGCTTCTGCATGCGGGTGCTGGGCCTCACGGTAACCTCCTAGGAGGCGGTGCCTTGCACGCAGCGCCACACTGGGATCCTGCGGAGGGACATTTTGACGCAGTGGGATGAGTCTCCCTTGTCGCGGGACACGGAGGTTTGGGGTCTCGGGCGACGAGTTTACCTAGTGTGGATGGCTCTGGTGTGGGGAAAATCCTTCCTACTCCTACGCTGGTCACCACGGACACCTGCCGCCTGGGATGGGGGAGGGGCCATGGCCCCTGGTCTGCGTAAGGTCGTTGGAAGTGTTTTGTCTGCCGTTCAACATGTTGAAGCTTCGCGTGATCGACTGCCTCTCCATCATTGGGCGGGCCGACTTCGGGCCCTGTCGGTTTGGGTTCAGTCAGACTACGCCACGGCCGTGGATTACATCAACCACCTAGGCGGCGCAAGAAGCGTGGCCACGGTGCGGGTGCTGGCCGAGATTCTCTCCTGGGCAGCAGAGCATGTTCCGACACTTTCCACGGTGTATATTCCAGGAGTAGGCGATGGCAGGCCGACTATTTCTGTTGCCAGTCGGTGAACCCGGCGGGGTGGTCATTGCACCTGGAGATTTTTCTTCACATCTGCCTTCGCTGGGGGACGCCGGATGTGGATCTCCTTGTGTCTCGTTTCAACCGAAAGGTTGATTGGTTTGTAGCCCGGGCACAGGTTACCTGGGCAAAGGCGGTGGATGCCCTGGTGGCCTCTTGGGCGATTGTTAAAGTCTGATTATGCATTTCCTCTGTTGTATTTTTTTGTCGCATCTTCTTCGCAGGATAGCAGCCAAAGGCATCCCCATCCTCCTCGTGGCCCCAGATTGGCGCAAGGAGAGCATGGTCCGCGGACGTGTTTTCGGTTAGTCGCGGACTTTCCTTGGCGACTGCTGCTTTGTCCAGGGCCCGTGTTCCATCTTTCTTTACAGTCGCTGGCCTTAATGCCGTGTCTGTTGAGAGCCAGGTGTTGAAGGATCGTGGTTTATCAGACGCAGTAATCTCCATGATGCTTAGGGCTCACAAAGCCATGTCTCGAAAGTTATACCATCGCACGTGGAAGGTCTGCTTGCCTGGTGTGAGGCGGGGGGTCTGTCTCCGCGTTTTGTCTTTGTGAGCAGGATTCTTGTGTTTCTGCAAGAAGTCGTGGTAGATCGTGGTTTGGCCTCCAGCACAATGGTAGGCCAAGCTCTGCCCTGATTGTTCCTTTTCAGCGACTGTTGGCGTCACGTGCCTTGATTCGCACTTTTGTTCGGGGGTTACACATTTGTTCCTCCTGTTCGGTCTCCCTTGTCGCCTTGGGATCTGACTTTGGTGCTTTCAGTGTTGTGGGAGTCTCCCTTTGAGCCGTTGAGGGAATGACCGCTTCTGTGTTTGTCCCAAAATATTGGCCTTTTTGGTAGCATTTACTTCCGTTCACAGTGTTTCAGGGTTGGCGGTCTTGTCTTGCAAGTCGCCGTTATTGGTCCTTCATAGGGACCAGGTGGTTCTGCATCCTCAGCCATCCTCCCTACCTAAGGTGGTTTCTGTGTTTCATTTGAATGAGAACGTTGTCTTACCTTCTCTATGTCCAAAGCCCATTCATGGGTAAAAAGAGCGTTGCATTGTGTGGATGTGGTTTGCACTCTCCGCATTATACGTAGGCTGCGGCTTTCTTCCGTGAGTCAGATTCTTTGTTTGTGGTTGCGGAAGGCCCTGGGAAGGGCAGGGCCGCAGCTTCGGGGGCCCAGCAGACCCAGGCAAGGTAGGACAAGAGATGGTGGGGGAGCCGTCCGGCCGCACGGCAGTGGGATCGGAGTGAGGCAGAGCAGCCTGCAAGCGAACGGTGAAGCAGTGCTGGGGCCTCGGCTGGGGGGACCCAGCAGCTTCCTGATCACACAGCCCGCCGCCTCTCCCAGCTACATGATGTTCCCGCCACGGAGGAGGTGAGGTGACTGCTTTTATCTTCTGTATGTGTATGTAAGTTCTGTGACATGTTTTGTAGTCCTCTATAACTGATGGAAATCTTCTGCATTTCTGTTGAGAGTATTGCTGGGAGTTGTAGTCCCCTATAGCCGTTACCATTCTTCATTTATGAAGAGAGTATTGCTCGAAGTTGTAGTCCCCCAATAGCCGTTACAGTTCTGCTTTTTTTTTTAGAGAGAGTATTGCTGGGAGTTGTAGTCCTCTATAGCCATTGCCATTCTGCATCTCTGTATAAAATACTGTTGGGAGTTGTAGTACTCTATACAGAAATGCAGAATGGTAATGGCTATAGGCGGGCAGGGCGGGCTTTGTAAGAGCAGGGGGGGAGGGGATTTTGCACCAGGGCCCATTGTTCCATAGGCCTGCCACTGACAAAAGTGGACAATGCGCGTAGTCCCCTCTGCTAACAAGCATAGCCAAGTCCCCGATCTTACTTTTCTTATTGCATTAAAAGCAATACAGCTGGGTTAATGGCCACTGACAGTGAAGACAGCAGCTTGTTCATTAGGACCGGTGCATCCCATTGTATTGCACTGAAGGCAAGGGATCTGAGCTATCGTTTAGTGCACTGCACCTCATGCTAGATGAGCTGATGTGTTGCCTTTCCATTCAAAATGAATGGGACTCCAATGCATCTCCCAGCAGGTGCAGCACCTAGTATTGCAATACAGTGCGTTGGCATGTGGTAAAAAATAATGCATGTACCACTTTTTCTTCACTGCATGGCAACACATGCTATTGAAGTACGGGGTGTTGCAGCATAATGCATGCCAACTGGAAGGTGTGTTGGGGTTCTATTGAGTGTGGGGTGCTGTGTGGTAAATGTGTGAATCCCGTGCCTTTAGAGCAACTCCCCTTGTCCTTTGACAAATGTCAGTGCAATTCTTAGTCCAGCTAGATTGCATCTCTTGCGTAAATCAATCACATTACTGCTAAAAATAATGACAGTACAGGGGGTTAAAGACGAGCTGAATCCTCTGAAAACAGAAGAATTCAGTGGGGAAATATTTATAAATCTGGATCACATCTAAAATCTGGACATTTAGTTTGCCTTGGTTTTGTTTCATATAATAAAAAAAATGATATAAATAAACACAATGATCTGAAACTTCATGACAGTTTGAATGTTTATATCCTGAACTACACACATGCTCAGTCATTGGAACTTGGCATGGATCCAGATCCTAGGCATTTCCTTTTTTTCTCAGAAAACATGAACAATTCTAAAGTAAAGTAGAAAGTGCTGCATTCATAAATGCTGGTCAGCGTGGAAGCCGTGTGTGAGGGGTCTCCTTTCCAAGATTGTAGACGCTCCTGAACAGCTGCCTGTCCTCTCTGCCAGTACTGCTTGTTGTTGCCATGATATTGGCAGCTGCACTGTTTATTGCAGTTGTTTCTGTGTTTTGGAAACACTGCATATTCCACGAGGCAAAGGAGACGCGTGGGAAATCAGTTTCTCGGATGATGGATATTTTTAGGCACTATTCCTTTTCAACCATCACAATAATGCAATCTGAGCTTTAAACAGACTGGACATCACATCGGTTGAAATGAGGGCAGGGATGATACGTTTTAGGCCATCTATTGGTTTGGGGCTCATTATTGCTGCCACTGATCCACCGTCCACGCAGAGTATCAGAAGTTATGGACACCGGCACTCGAAAGTAGAAAAACGTCTTTTATTGACGCATCATGCAACAATACACTTATTGCAACGTTTCGGGGTCACACAGGATCCCCTTCATCTGCCTGATGGCCACCGTCCACGCAGAGTATCAGAAGTTAGGGACACCGGCACTCGAAAGTAGAAAAACGTCTTTTATTGACGCATCATGCAACAATACACTTATTGCAACGTTTCGGGGTCACACAGGATCCCCTTCATCTGCCTGATGAAGGGGATCCTGTGTGACCCGAAACGTTGCAATAAGTGTATTGTTGCATGATGCATCAATAAAAGACGTAAACGTTGCAATAAGTGTATTGTTGCATGATGCATCAATAAAAGACGTTTTTCTACTTTCGAGTGCCGGTGTCCATAACTTCTTATACTCTGCCTGGACGGTGGCCATCCGTCGACTACTGATGCACCCAACCCATTCATCAAGGATTTAGCGGTAAGGAGTGCAATGGGTACTCTGACTATTACCCATTATTGCTGCCACTCAGCCAATGCTGGGGGGCTCATCAACAATAGAAGTTATTTTACTCCCAGTTTCTCTTCAGTGTACCCCCGGGTTGTATTTTGTCTAATACATGGCAAAGTTAAGGTTGTCACACCACAAGCCATACGCCATTACACCACACCCAGTGTATTCATCATGCCCACTTTAGCCATGATCACATATGTTTAGCTGTATATGCCGCATTCTTCTTCACCATCCCTTTAAGTTGCCAATGGATTTCAAATGATGGCTGCTATGGTAAAGGAGCGGTGATACAGTCACACAGAAGCTCCATTGTCCAGTCTGATGAACTCGGTGGAGTTGATGCAAGTAACTCAATCCAAAACTCTTGTCATAGTAGCTATTTCAATGCTGCAAAATGAATATGCGTGTGCAGACCATACTGAGATGTCTGTTTAACTTTAGTACCATTTGTTCAATATGATGATCCATTTTGTAAATTGTTGGTGCTATATAAATCCTGTATAATAATAATAACAATACAATGCTGCTGTAGAGAAGTGGTGTTACATAATGAATCCACAACTGCACCTGCGCACTATGACCAGCAGGGCGCGCTCTGCATCTATTTACACCCAATCTTCATGCAAGCCGTGGATCACAGAACGCCACGCCCAAAAAAAGTCAGTCATGTCACTAAGCTCCGCCTCGTCAGCCTCTAGACATGTATTGCAGCGCCGCCCCTGGAATTGTCATTTGTTAGTCCCGCCTCGATCCGCTGACAGTCAGCTGGCGGTCGTGTACGTCACGAGGCTGAAGTGTGCCCCGCCCATGGTGTTCTCGCGAGAGTTGTCTGTCGGGGCGCCCGCGCGCTGCTGTCGGTCGCTGGCTGAGGAGAGGGGCTCGGCGACTCGGTGCAAGTGGAAACCCGAAGAGGTAAGAGACCCGGTTACCGGGGGGTGGCTCACATGTAACACATGCGCTATCTGTCACTCAATGTATGAGCAGCATTCCGCCGTAAATACCCTAGGGATTCAGAGGGCCCAAACCTGGGGTCCGCCCATCTTTCAGAGACAAGGGGGGAATAGCCAATAGGAGGTGGTAGATGCAAAAATGACGTGCGGATGAGCCAATAAGAACTTGCTGGGAGGCGGGTTTAAGAAAAGGCCTGGGACAGCTTGTAGGATTGTACAGACTTGCTGTCTATACTTACAGCCAAGACTGTCTGCTCCCACCCAGTACTGTCTGCGGTGTCCGTCTGCCCGGTGTGTCCGCTCCGCCCTACGTGGCCTTGTCTGACTCTTGTCAGTCTCTACTTAGTAGCAATGTGTGCTGCTTGTACAATGCTGTCCCATATACCTACACTTTGTCCCTTCCGTCTACAGCTGACTGGGCTCTCAGCCTGCTCCACCCTAGGTGGCCTTCTCTGCTTCCAGCAGCCCTTGCTTAGAGGCTTATCTTCCTCTACTTTCTGACTGTCCTAAGAAACCTTTGTCTACCACCATTTTATTCTATAGGGTCTTGGCATTCAGAAAATATATAATGTTGGGGGGTTTTACGTCATTTTCAGGCCTAAAATGTGGAATATAACATGGGTGCAAAAAATGAAAAAAGGGCCTCAGTCATGAAGGGGTTAAAGGTGAATAATCAGTATTACTACCCGTCTTATTTCCTCTTTAAGTGTCAGATGTTTCTTCCTCCTCTTAGTATTTTTCTGACTGATGTAACGTCACCTCTGACATTTGCTAGACTGTAGGATGTGCCGGATTAGATTTGTGAGGTCCTGAGGGAGCTTTACCCCTAGTCTGTTGTGTTTTTGTGTGTCGTGCAGAGTGTGACTGTAGGCCTATTAGCCAGGTATATCTGCTTTGGCAATCTAATGTCACAAAGTGCTGCCTGCTTCCATCCCTTTCTTGATGTGCTTTTGTGTCCTCTAATGGTGTCTTAGGTTTAGGGGCCTCTGTAATGAGTATTGTTTTCATTATTTGGGATCAAAGTAAATAACTTTGCATCCTACATGTGTTGGTGATCAAAGTGATATTTTGTTGCTGGAACAGATTATCATAACCTGTTGACTGTTTGTAAGAAATATATACCTATGGAATGAAAATTATATTTAGGAATGCTTTGAGTCGAATTTATCAAAACTGGAGCAGTTGCCCATGGCAACCAATCAGCTCTCATTTTAAAGCTTAAAGTACTATTAAAGTGACATTTAATGTCACATCCCCCCAATGCTGCTTTAGGGACTTACCTTAAATGATCCGATCATCTTCTTTCCAGTAGTTTTCAAGAGTCCCTCCAGTGCTGGTGCCAGTCTCTGATCCAACACGGACTACAGTTTCTGTCCTCGTGCATGCTGCTGCCTCCACGAAAGATCTCTACTGCGCATATTTTTACCTATTTGGTAACTTAAAAAAAAAAAAAATCAAATTTTTTTTGCATATATCTACTGCTTGCTACCAGTAGATATATGCAGAAAAATGAGTGTTTAATTCTACTTTAAAGTTACTTTTGTTTTTACATATGTAAAAACATTAAAGAAAAAAGTTACCAAATAGATAATTACCTCTGTCTCCGCCGTTCGCTCCCGTTTGAAGATTCTGGAGCAGCCGTGCAGGATGATGGGGCGAGCACGTGTGCAATAGAGATCTTTGGCCGGGAGAAGAGGAGAGACACAGTGTAAGTCAATGCATGCAGCCTGGGGACACAGAAGACACAGCAATCAGCGCTGGATCAGAGTCCAGCACCAGCACTTGTGGGACTCCTGCAAACTACTGGAAAGAAGATGATGATTGGATCTAGAGGCATCATTTAGGGCACTGCAATGGAACACACAACATTGTGGTATGGTGCGTTCCAGTGCAGGTAATTGAACTGTGAGTGGGAGGTGCATTTGGGGTGCGATTCAAATGAACGCACCTCCCACACCAGAACACGCAGTGAGTGCGATTGCATGGTACAGTGCATTAATCGCATGGGACTTTGCAGTTAACGCACTGTACTAGTGTGAAAGGGCCCTCAAAAAACACTGACAGACGCACACAATCTCACACACACACACACACATATATACTACAAAAATCCTTAACCTGGGGTTCAGTGTGGGCTGCTCTGCTGTGACGGAGCTCCATCCATATGTGCATTGCTTGTACAGCTCCCATGCGTGCCTGCAGAGGTGCCGGGAGCCAGAATGTGACATCACTCCAGTCCAGGTACCTCTACAGCAGTGGTTCTCAACCTTGATACAGCGGCGGATTGATATCTGCTGTACTCTCCAGTGCAGACCGGAACTATAACTTAATTGTCGGGCGCCGCGGCTCCTGATATTAATGCGCTGGCCCGAAAGTGAGGAAATAGTCCCCTCTCTCCCCGGGCCATACCACTTTATCGGAGAGCTCGGGGGAGGCCGGGAGAGAGGGGACAGTTTGACATTATGAGGTTCCACAGGCTGAACCACAAATTCCCCCTCTAGTTCGCTCTAATGCAGATGGGCCGGTCTATGCAGACATGACGTCGCGACCCACTGCAGGGGGTGTCGCGACCCACTTTTGGGTCGCGACCCACGAGTTGAGAACCACTGCTCTACAGGACATGCGAGGGAGCTGTAAGCGATGCACGTATGGATGGAGCTATCTCACGGGCAAAACTCCAGCCCACCCCACCTCAAGTCGTCACTCGGCGACAGGCAGCATATTTTGAATGGCTGCTCTGTTTGAGAACTGACAGTGCTGTGCTAGGGGGAGGCAGAGGAGCCTCTCGCCTAGAAAAGTGGAAGGCATGCGGCGACCTATTGAACACGGGGGTTGTGACTCATTAGTTGAGAACCAAGGATTTAAGGTAAGTCCTTAAAGCAGCATTGGGGGGGGTGTGGCAGTTTATCCTCCATAGGATTCGTGGTGCCGGTGACTTCCTTCCATTTTACTGAGTTTGGATAGCTCCATCCATTGCAATCACTACAAGTACCTCCTTGTATCATATCTGGTCCAGCATTGTTAAGGCCTTTTTCACACACAACGCAAGCAAAATTGTATATTACGTCTATGTGCATATATATGCGTGCACTATATGCAATCCCAGAATGCATCACTCGTAATGGAATTGTTAATGTGCTTGTACGCATGTACATGTGCGTAAATATGCAGAAATACGCTGACCGGACGCATCTCTGTTCCATTCTGTTTTTGCGCATATATACGCTACGCAAATATACGGCTCCATACGCGGCTGTGTGTATGGAGCCATTTATTTGCATAGGTTGCATATGGTACAATACGCACGTACGCGCGCATACATGCGGCAGTGTGAATGAGGCCCAAGACTGTGCAGCTCCATACAAGACTTTCTTCACGTGTTTACCTCCTGTCACACATGATTGTCACGTTTGAAGGACATTTCGGCATGGAGTGATTCCTGTGTTCTCAACTTAAGTCTCCAGGAATCTAATTTTTGAAATGTGCTGTGTATCTTTCCAAACAGAAATATGCATGTTGAGGTCAATGGAAAGGGGAGAAGGGAGGAAGTGAGTGGTGTTGGTAGACATTTATTTCTCTGAACAACTTTCCATAGTGATCCTCTGATTGGCAACACACCCAGGTTTACCAGCAACCATATAATAAGGGACATCCTGTTAGATTTAAAGTTCTAGCTCGTTTAGGTGTAGATTTGTGGAATGGACTTGGCCAAAATTCGATCAGTGCATGGCCAGCTTAAAGCGCACAATTTCCCTGGAAGGGGAACTCCCCCATTGAGTCTGCCCTGATTGGCTACAGTTACTGTTCGGCCAAAAATGTTTGGGCCATTTTTGGATATCTATCGGCATGTTCATTTTACTGGCAAACTCACTAAATTTTTTTTTAATGGCAAACAAGGGGTATATGTGCCAGTGTCACATCAATACGCACGTATCAAGGTTGGTAGAGGTACATCACCACTGCTGTCCTACATCCATTCGTCTAAGGCCTCATTCACACTGGGCGAACAAGTCCGTTCGGCGTGCACGCCCGTACACAGCGGATCCCAGGAGGGACAGGTGCTGCGTGTGATTGCGCACAGCAGCCTGTTCCTCCCTATAGGAGGACACGGCTGTACGCTGACACCCGCACGGTTATGCACTTCGGGTGTCCATATGACACCGTACAGCCACATCCTCCCATAGGGAAGAGCAGGCTGCTGCGCGTAATCGTACGGAGCACCTGTCCCTCCTGGGATCGGCTGTTTACGGGCATGCGCCCAGTGTAAATGAGGCCTCATTCAGAACATTTCGTAGAGCTTATAAATATCCTAAAACCGCACTCTGGGTTGTTGTTAAATTTACCCACGTAGTTGGGTCTCGCCTGCATTGCAAGGGCTAAATCCTTATTGGGCTAGGAGAGGAAAGGAAGAAGTACAAATCCTTATCTTAGGCTCCATTCACACGTAGCGGTTGGAAAATCAGCGTGGTTTTCTGCACGTTCGTCTGCGTGGCACGAAAACTTGCACATTTTAACATATGCATGGATTCTGCACGTTTGTGACTATTACCATAGCTGGAATACGCGGAAATTGCCCTGAATATCGCACTTGGATTTTTTGCGCATTTTCGTGCCAAGTGGACGTCGCGCAGGTGTGAAGAAGGTACATTAGAATGTATTAGGTTTTATGTTTTGTGCGTACGAATATGCATGGAAAACCGCTAATATGTGGAGCCTTATTCCTCAGCCAGCTCTCTTCCATAGCCCAACACTCCTGGGATATGGGCTAGCCTTTGCCATCCTAGCATGCAGGGTTTGTTCTGCATTGTATGCAATGATGTTTTTGACCTTTGACCAGCTGGGCAGCATAGTAAAGCCTCTTCGGGGGACCAGTAGCACAGAGAGGAGGAAGCCTGCGGGAGTGAGGAATAAGGTTTGATTTTCAATGTATTCCTTTCCTGCCTAGCCTAAAGAGCATTTAAC